GTCGGAAAAGCAAGTGTTGAATAGAAAATGTTCATCGTTTATAATTCGTTCACTCATATCTTCACAAAATTGTAATCGCCGATCAAAATCGTTTTCATTAAGTTCTTGTACCAGGTGAATTTTATACGGATGAAAACTATGGGCCTTTAGAATCTGTTGGACAGTACGTCGACTAACACCACACACAGTCTCCAATTTGCGGGTACTTAACGTAGGATCTACATAAACTTGCCCTAAAACCCCCACTCCTATTGCTTTGTTCCTTATGGGATTTTCAATGTTGCGTTTTTTATTGGCGACTGACCCAGTCTCCCGAAATTTAGCTACAAGTTCTAGAACATATTTTCGATGCACGTTACTGTTCTCATGTCGCCCATTAAATATTTCTGCTGTTCTATTAGCGCACTGATTATTTAAAGTCTACTTTAAGCTTTAAATCGATAAATCCTCAAAACTACTGAACTGAAGCTCATGTATTTTACATCATTATTAAGGGAATTGAAAGACCTTTAAAATAAGGTATCACTTGTTTCCCCTTTCCATTTAAGATTTTAGGGTTGGTGTCACCCCCGCCCAGGGGGCCGCACGTGTTAACGTGATTTTTTGCCAAACTTGTGTCCCCCTCGAAAACAGAATCGACGGGTCTGAGCGTTTTTCCAAAAAAAAAACTGAGCTGCCAGTAAATGCGTCTGTTTCGTTTTCGATGCGCCACCCTGTATATATTACATATTTCATACATAATAGACTTCCCCGTACATCTGCCGTTAAAACGATGGAAAAATATTTTCCGTTATTTTGTAAGCAAAAGCCTCTTCTCTGCCTTCAAATTACTCCTTAAGTATTGCAAAATGTACGGTAACGTTTTGAGCAAAATCGTTATTATTGCATGGAGAATCATGGTGGCCATTTTCAACATTTATTTACCTAACGGGTCAGTTCATTCTATATTTTTAAATTACTTTTCTGCCAAATGTATTGATCTCCACTAATGATGATGTATTAGTTTTATCTAAGATTTAAATCAATAAATCTTCAAAACTACTGAACTGAAGTACATTAATTTTACATCATTATAAAGAGAATTTAAAGACCTTTAAAATAAGGTATCACTCGACGCCCCTTTCCATTTAAGATTTTAGGGTTGGTGTCACCCCCGCCCAGGGGGCTGCACGTGTTAACGTGATTTTTTGCCAAACTTGTGTTCCCCTCGAAAACAGAATCGACGGGTCTGAGCGTTTTTCCAAAAAAAAAACTGAGCTGTCAGTAAATGCGTCTGTTTCCTTTCCGATGCGCCACCCTGTATATATTACATATTTCACACATAATAGACTTCCCCGTACATTTGCCGTTAAAACGATGGAAAAATATTTTCCGTTATTTTGTAAGCAAAAGCCTCTTCTCTGCACATTGTTCTTAAATCTCATTAATCTTAAAAATTTCCAGAAATGTATACAAAATCATGCTAAATATGCAGATTTTTAGGCCGAGCCGAATACTTAGGGAAAGCACGACACCCCTAGCATCCCCCGGGGCGCCTATGTATACCAATACATCATAGTTATTTGAATATACACAAAAATGCGATTTTCGTAAGTTGACGCTTAACATAATATAATAAGTACAGTATATTCAGATAAGAGATAGACCGGATGTAAACAAAAGGTTCGGGTGATTTTCACGCTAACGCCGCCGTCTCGACGTAAAACCTCATTGGTCAATTCGCAATTAAATGCCTATGCCGAGCGGCAGAGCAGTCGTATCAAGGCAGAGTCACATTCAGGTTCAGACGTGTTACGTATGTCGTGTGCATCATTGCAATTTGATATTTCTTTGGACGTTTTCGTTTGTTATCTTATTAAGTTGTTGAGTTTGTCGTTGTTATTGTTATACCTTGTTATTGATTGTTATTGTTATCAACTGCTTACGCAAAATGCCCAGTAGTACAGATACTGCCGATGAAGTTGTAAACTCCTGTAGTCCACCTAGGAAACGCTCTAAAAAAAGACACCTGAGTGCAGAAATGCAAGAGGTCATTTTGAATATATATAAGATCGAGCGCGAGGAGAACGAGGCATCAACCATCAAAGAAATTGTTGTGAAGGTTTCTGACAAAGTTGGGGTGTGTCGCGCATCAGTGTTTAATGTGTTAAGACAATACAAAAAAAATCACACCTTTTCTGAGCCAATGACCAGTAAACATCGCAAAAGTATTGTTAAATCATTGGATGAAGCTGATAAGCATGCGATTAGGAGGAAAGTGCATGAATTCTTCTTTAGGAATGAAATACCTACTAGATAAAGTACTGCAGAAGGTAAATGGAGATACAACGTTGCCAAATTTCAAACGATCAACTTTCCATGCGTTACTGAAGCATTTAAATTTCAAATGGAAAAAACGGGGTCGTAATTGTTTACTACTGGATAGAGAAGAAATTGTGCTATGGAGGAGGGATTATTTAACAAAAATTGGGAAATATAGAAATCAAAACAGGAAGATTTATTACCTTGATGAAACCTGGGTAAACGCAGGACACACTACAAGTAAAGTATGGGTTGATGATTCTGTAACTTCATCCAGGAGGGCCTTTCTAGATGGACTGTCCACCGGATTAAAAAATCCAGCAGGTAAATACGAGTAATAGACAACAATCGGATGTTTTTCAAACCTTGGGAACAAGGTTCTAAACATTAATTCCAGGGGGCAGATAAAACATATTACAAGTAACAAAACTTTTATAACTTTCGATAAAATGTGTGGATGGAGATTATATTCGACTGTATTTCACCAAACATCAGGCAGCATCCGAAGCTGGAAATCGAAGCGAAAATTTTGAATCCCTTATGTATATTTACATCATTATATATTTCTTACCCCACCCCCACATGATCCTATATCCATCACCAATCGTATACATATCGAATTGTGCTAATTTACTACAAAGTTACGCAAAGCAGCATCTACTATCTAAAATATGTACTGCGTGACTCTTAATACGTCCCTGCCGAATGTTACAGCATTCGATGATCACGTGGTCTTGTTTATGTCCGGTCTATCTCTTATCTGAATATACTGTAGTTATCTAGGAACCTTTTGTCTCCCTAGATATCTCTTGATGCGGGGCGTTCTTCACTTACCCCAAAAATTTAATTCTGTTGTAGAATCTTTGGCTAGTTAGCATAATCTCATAGTGGAAATGTAAAAAAAGTCTTGATATTGCTCAACTGAATTCGTTTATTTTTGTTAAGTACATATTAGGAGGTCTAGCCATTTGAAAAGCTATATTAAATACTGATAATTTTATAGATTATTTTTAACATCTATACCTTTATATTTTCGAAAATATTCTCACAAAATTTTACACTTAAAAAAGTAATAATAAGGACTATATTTTATTTTATTATTGTCTAACAATTATGAGATGAACCAAAGCGCTTCGTCCCCAGCTTTCCATCAAACTTGCAATCTATATGTATCTGCTATTCCTCAGCTTCTGTACATATATTCAATTTCATTGTAATACAGGTTCAACAAAAAACAGTGGACACAATGTAATGATGTGATGACATGAATGAACCTCAAGCATATCCAAGCTCTTAAGCATTAAAGCTTTTTCCAATATGGGTGAAAAGGAAAACGTTAAAATTTTGTGACAATATTCGCAGAAAACATATGCATATTATAACAATTTCGTAATCTATAGGAATTAGATGATGTGCAGCTCAAAAAATGTTTTAAGAACCGTCAACTTGTTTAATAATCGTGTATTCACGCAGGAAGTTATTCCGTTTATCGTTGATGTGATAAAAGATTACAAAGCAATTGTATATAATTTAATGCATTGCAACTCTTCCTGTTAGGAAAATAATGTTTGCCAATATGTGCAATTTTCAGTTTCGCTGCACATAACAATTTTATAGCCACCAACATGTATGATCTTTCATGGTAGTTCAAATCGTTCTATATTTTCAGAGCGATCACTATTTCCCAAAATGTGTTTAGTAATCTCTTGAATTTATGTAGATCACAAATGTCACAAACATTTTTGAAATACTATTCTACACTGCTTGCATATAAAAAATAAAAGCCTCAGAACGATTTTATTTAATAATTTTTAAACGTCACTGTACAGCAATCCTTGAACTGATGAGAATGTACTCTTGTTTCATGTCGACTAGGGTGTCCACTAAATGATCTTCCTTCTGTAACCTGTACATGCAACATCCCGAGACCAAGCTTCAGCAGAGTAAGCGCAGGCATAGTCTGTCACAACATCGCCTGCAAAGCGGGCCATTTACACGTTGAGACCAATCAGAAGTCCAACCAGCAATCGCAGGTCTTTCCTATCTATAGGTGTGTGTGATGTGCTGGAGATGTTCAAAGACATTTCTTCAACTCAGAGTCCTAGCTTTATTTGCAACTTATTCAAAAGCCGGCGACAAGTATATTTTTAACTAGACTATCTCCTTGCGAGACAATCTGTGACATTGTTACTATATTTTTCCAAATGTCCATGCCTCTTACTGATGAGACCTGGTGATTCGCTGCAACATTGTCGATTGGCTTCCTGTTCACCAGAAAAAATCCCGACGTTATGTCACACTTTGCATACCGCCTGGCTAGACTAGATATTAATTTTGCCTCTTACGTCTATTGTCTTTCCGATTTTTATACACATCAAAGCAGCCGCGCAGGCAGAAGCCTAGATGCCAGGTCACCGCGGCTTCTATCTATGAGGAGCTTAACCCTGTAATGCTTAGTGGGGTTTCGCATCACCCCAAAGAAAATTCAAATGTTCACTAATTTTTTGTGCATAAATTGGCAACATCGGAGATCCCTCTATGTTCATTTGAGGTTAAAGTGTGTGTGTTGTTGATCGCACATTTTTGTTCAGTGCAATAGTTTATATTATATTTTGTGTTTTGGGTGACGAGTAACTCCAGGTAAGCTTAAACTGGTATTTTTATTTTATTCCACACACTAGATTACGTAATTTATTTAGATGGCTGTCCGACCAGATGATCCCAAATTTGAAGAAACTCTGTTACGATGGAATGAAGAACTCGACAATGAACCTGATTCAGATAATGACGGCACTGACTATGACGACCATGTTTCAACTCAGTCAGACAGGGAGAGCACCTATTCAACGGATGATAGTGAAGTAGAGTGTGAGACAGAACAACAACTTCCTGGCAAAGTAATAAAAGGAAAAAATGGACATATTTGGAGCACTGAGCTTCTCGAACACCTAAGCGAAACATTGTTTCATGTATTCCAAGACCAAAAGGTGCGGCCAAAAATATTTCAACGGAATTAGAGGCATGGAAGTTATTTTTTAGCTCGAATGTTATAGATATTATAGTGGTGCATACAAATATGGAAATAGAACGACAAAGAGGGAAATATGTTGCTAATTGTGGCTTTGTTGACGAGACAGACGTTGAAGAGATCTTGGCTTTGATAGGACTGCTTTATATGACAGGTTGTAGAAAAGACAATCATCTAACTACAGCAGAAATGTGGTCAAAGCATGGACCAGAAGTGTATCGATGCGTAATGAGTGAACCAAGGTTTAGATTTTTGATATCTTGCCTCAGATTTGACGACAAAACCAAGAGCGACCGAGAAGATAAATTTTCTCGAGTACGTAATATATGGGAAATGTTTATATCTAACTGTACAAAATACTATACTCCTCACAGTTATTGTACCATCGACGAACAGTTATTGGGATTTCGAGGCAATTGCCCTTTTAGAGTATATATTTCATCAAAACCTGACAAATATGGAATCAAAGTTCTAACGATGTGTGATTCACGCACATATTATATGGTTACTGCTATTCCATATATCGGCAAAGAAAATAAGCCAAATAAAGAACCTCTCCTAGCTTATTACGTAAGAAAACTGACAGAACCCATTCACGGTACCGGACGCAATTTGACGATGGACAATTGGTTTACTTCCATCCCACTGGCTGACAAAATGCTTGTTGACTACAATTTGACCATTGTGGGTACTCTCAGAAAAAACAAGAGGGAAATTCCTCCATCGTTTCTCCCAAACAAACGAAAAGAAATTATGTCTTCTCAATTTGGATTCGACAACCAAAAAACCCTGAAGTCTTTCACACCCAAGAAGTCTAAATCTGTGCTACTTTTATCGACAATGCATTCTGGTAGTACAATAGATGAAAATAAAAAACCCGAGATAATAAATTTTTACAATTCTACCAAAGGAGGTGTCGATACCTTTGACCAGATGGTGCACACATATTCGGTATCCCGCAAAACACGCAGGTGGCCATTACGCTTTTTTTATGGTATAATGGACCAAGCAGGCATTAACTCCAACATTATTTTCCAAATTGTTAAGCGTGATAGACAAAAAAGTGTTCGTCGAAAATACCTATTTGAACTTGGACTACAACTGGTCAGGTATGGAAAGACGTTTGACAAAACCAATACCTCGAAAATTGAAAGAATCAATAATGAATATTCTAGATATGAAAACAGAAGAAAAAGTTGATCCACCTCCAGCAAAATTGCTAAAACAGACTCGCTGCATTTTATGTCCAAGGACAAATGACCGAAAAACAAAAAGTGCCTGTGCGAAATGTTTCAAGGCCGTTTGAAGTAATCATCGAGCTGAAATATGTACCGAGTGTTTGAAATAAATGTTTTATTATTGAAACAAAAGTGTCTATCTTTTATATTTTGTTCATTAAATAGGAATATATCACTGTGGTTATTGGTAACCCCGCCTAAGCAACTATAGCCGTGCTATTCGCCTAAGCGCTCCAGGGTTAAGAAAACTATGTTTTAAATAGCCTATTGATGAGATGTGTTCGTGCTAGATCAAGTCTTCGGTGATCTGGACCCCGACCAGCCGAAATGAACGGTACTTTGCTGATCTTTGGTGCTGGTAAGCTCTGATGATGTCGAGCGACAAGAGCACCCTCCTTACGGTCTTATATCTTGACAAGCACTTCCGCCTGAGCGTATACAATCGTTCCATCCTGGTACGTAAGTGGTGGAAGCTTACTCTGAAAATCTGATTTTTGAAAAATAGCCACAGATTTAACGATCTCAAACCATACATTTCGGCTTAAACGTTATTAAAAAAAATCTCTTTTGTAGAGACGTAATACCAATTTTAGGAGATGCATTTCTGTGCCAATTTATCTTTCTTCTCTGCACGAGTTCGTAAGATTGTCCACATAGTAAAGCAAACCTTGAATGTTATTGTTTTTCAGACACGTAGTTTCGTAGGCATTTACATATGCTCTTATGTCGAGTTCCGAGTTTCTTGTAAACATTTTAAGAACGGCACTTCATCCTTAGCAAGGGTGTAACTGGTCGACATTACTGCAGTTATTGTACACACTTCAGCCATGATGTAAATAGGAAAGTATAAATTTTATAATGATATGTGCATACATCTTACATACGCCTGCTTTAGTTTATGATTTGTATCTTCGTACGATGCCACAGCGCTTCGTGATCGGAACTTAGTTATGTTCATAGATATTTGATATGGTTGATCACTCAACTGGCAATCTATCTCACTTTTACCGAATTATTCGTAAGGCTATGAACTGAGAGATTGAAAATTTTATTACTATACTTACTATTAAACTTTGCTAGATTTTTGGACAGTGGGAAAGGTCAATACCTCTAGGATTATGTTTTATTATTCAGAAAAATTCAAAAATTCTACAATCATACATTGTCTTTCCACAGTCCACAGCATTCTTGATATGGTTGGTCAGGCAGTCAATATTTTCAAAGGCAGATAACGCGAATGGAGTTCTACATCTAGACAAAATGGAGTACCTTCCAAAATTTTACTTCGATGAAATACCAATATTTTTGCGCCAAAAAGCGTACTTTAAGCACCTTCTATCTGTGAACCACAAGTTAGTGTCAAAATCTGCCTTCCAAAATTTGTACATAAAATTTCGTACCAAAGCTGTAACACGAAAGTGGCAAGGTCTGGCAGGTTCAGTGCTTAGAATATTATCTCACCCGTACTACGTAACTTAAAAGTGACATTATATCGATTTTTTATGACATATAGGGTTTTGTTTGATATTATTTATGTTTTCATCCTCACTTGTAGTAGGCCTGGAATTAACTATCGTCTACGTAGTGCACACGTTGACACTTTACCGATTTTTTTGACATTATATGACTATAGATAGGGAAAAATTGTTAAGGAAGTTGCGTCAGTATGGCTTTAAAGGATCAATATTACACATTTTACAAAGTTATTTAGTAAATAGAAATCAAAAAACTAAAGTTGGAAATATTATGTCAAGTGTTCAAAATATATCAGTAGGGGTGCCTCAGGGTAGTAAATTAGGGCCGTTACTATTTATTATTTATATAAGTGATATCTCTGACATTTTAGAACACTGCAAAAGTCAAATATTTGCGGACGATACACATATATATATATATATATATATATATATATATATATATATATATATACAGGGTGGCCAAACACGTGACGTCATAAAAAAAAAATTAGATTCCCCACATCGAGAGGAACCCAAATCACCCCCATATATATGGTCCGATTTTGTTTAGTTTAGGAGTTATGATTTTTTTTCGGATTTTTCGAGAATTTTTGAGTTCTGTGTTTATTTTTACCATAACTTCGTTAATAATTGTGATAAATGCCTGCTTTTTTCACGATTATGTAGCTAAGACCTAAGGCTTAACTATCATATAATCATTCAAGTCATGTAACTAATACTACTTTTTAATTTTTTTCAAAATCTTCGAACATAACAAAAAAGTAAAAAAGTGCAACAACTTTGAACGTTTATAAAAAATTGAAAAAACATGTTCTTACTATTCGTAAGTATCTTAAAAACTTCCTTACGGTATCAGCTATTTACCGTAAAAATTTCATCAACCTAGCTTTACTACATGCTACCGTAATTGTGGCTCAAATACAACCGAACCCAAAATTGGATAACCCTCTGCTCAATAGAAATTGTTAGTTTCGGAAAAAAAATTTGCAAAAACCACAAAAACACGTTTGATTTTTACTGAACAGCAGATTATTATTCATTTATGTTATTTACAAGAGGTTTTCAAAATGTCTGCCTCTATCAGAAATGCACAGTGTACACCTACGTATGAAATTTTGTTTTAAATCTCTAAATGCTTGTGTGTTGTTTTTCAACACATGTGTCGCTTCTTGAATTTTGTTCCTCAATGAATTTTCATTTGCACATTCTTGGGCGAATGTTATGTCTTTAAAATATCCCCAAACAAAAAAATCAATGGGGTTGAGGTCAGGGGAGCGTGGAGGCCATCGTATCGGTCCGTTTCGTCCGATCCATCTGTCTGGGAACCTTTCGTTTAAGTAGTTTCGCACGATCGTTGCGTTGTGGCATGGTGCACCATCATTCTGGAACACATGTTCCGTCCTGCCATGAAAGTGTTATGTGTGTTAATAAAAACACGGTGGTCTGGGTAATGCTCAGGTTGTGGTCCGCCTCGGCGTATAAGTTGTTCCCGGTACAGCTGAGCTGCTAAAGCGCCGTTGCCTTGAGCAACGCCATAATAATAATAATGCATTTCTGCATATTCACGCAACGTATAATGCATCACAAACTTCTTAGCAAACAAAGTCCAAATCAGTATGCAAAGCAGAGAAATTAGCCGGAATCCCTCAACGAGTACGAGATCTATGGCACAAAACCTTAGAATACCACGAACATCGATACAAAATATTCTTCATGAAGAAGGTTATCATGCCTATCATGTTCAAAGAGTTCAAGCGTTGATGCCTTCAGATTACCAGTTAAGAGTGGATTTCTGCGAGACAATTCTGCGAAGACAACGAGAGGATCCCGATTTTTTTGATAAAATTTTATGGACTGACGAGTCACGTTTTGAAAGAACAGGGATATTCAATATCCATAATTTACATACTTGGGCTGTTGAAAACCCCCACCAGTCAAGGCCGTCGGCATTTCAACACCGTTTTAGTGTGAACATGTGGTCAGGAATATTCAATATGGAATTTATCGGTCCATTTGAACTGCCGTCAAGGTTGGATTCGGTAGCCTACAAAAGCTTCCTTGAAAATAGCCTACCATTATTGCTGGAAGATTCAAGCCTGGAAGCCAGACGGAACATGGTGTTCCAGAATGATGGTGCACCATGCCACAACGCAACGATCGTGCGAAACTACTTAAACGAACGGTTCCCAGACAGATGGATCGGACGAAACGGACCGATACGATGGCCTCCACGCTCCCCTGACCTCAACCCCATTGATTTTTTTGTTTGGGGA